TGCGAATTTCTTTTTACTTTCTTCATTTTGGTCCTTCCTACGGGAGATTCTTGGTCACAGAGGAAGTCTTTTGGAATTGCAATTGTTGGGGAGAGGGTTGACAACATCAGTTTAAGTGCAAAGGGAGAGGATTTTGGTCTACCATTCTCTTTAGTGGAGGAGAGGTAGATTGGTTGACCAGAGTTTCAGACAGTTCTACTATGAGAAGGGAACTAGTTCATGGATCAATTGTGAGGAGAGGAAACATGGTTGGGAGAAATAATTCTCTTTGGCGAATATCTGAAGCATTCTTTTTTAAGTTAATTACAATTTACATCTTTGAAGCATAAATAAATCAACTTCACTCATGTTGTTAATCCGTACTCTCATCTATCAAGAAAGCAATCACAAAATTACTTTACTTGAATTGGAAATAGGATTCACTTGAAATTAGAAAACTATTTTGATACAAATTTCTATTCTCTTTGTATTACATTCTAACTATTATGCTATAGAATTGGAATTAGAATCAGAATTTGAACCAAAGTCACCATCATAACAAATATCAGATTTTTTAGTAGAAAAAAAGATATTACAGACAAATGGCACAAGGGGTACCACCCGAGTATAAAAAAAAGAGAAAAAGAACTACAAAATGGGATTAATGGAAATGTCTAAAAGGTCCCAAAGATCATCACTAGAATGAAGAGGATGACCAACCAAAAAAAGGAGGCCCGGTACCATATATAACTGATCCTAGAAAAATTAGATACAAGAATATCAAACACTCTTCTAATGTTCTTCCAAATGGTCCAAAAATAGATTGGAGGATTAGAGTAATCAACTAATTCTTGTCCTTGTTAACCCGGACACGAAGACAAGAGTTCAGAGGAATAGAACTACCTCTAGCCAACTTATGCTCATCAGCCCAATAGTTGACTCCCATAATTTTTCCCCTCCAAGCACCATAAGAATAATTACTAACCTACTTACAAGGTGTAGGTCAAGTACTTTATGCCACAAAATGACTACAGCTAGCTAAAAACAAAATTATTAATAATTTTTTTAAAAAATCCTCTCTACCTATGTTTCACTGCTGTGGTAGCGGTGAGCCCAATTTATTTGGACATCCAACCTAGGGATCTTCATGTCGACTTCCTCAACTAGGATCTTCCTAGTTATGGAAAAAAATCTTTTTGACTTAAGAGTTGGTGGGTAATAAGCTGGGAGGGCTCAAGCTGGGTGAAAATGGATGAGGATTAGA